CAGCACGGGCTTGGAAGCCCAGTTCAGCCCGAAGTCCCATCTCCCTGCGGTTTGAAGGCTCCCAAAGGGGCGAGGGAGACCCCGCAACCAGCGCCCCGCCCTGGGCAGGCAGGCAGCCCTCTGCCTTCCACCAGCCCCGAGAGCTGCATGGAGGAGCCCGGATCCTCACCAGTCTTGCAGCAGATCTCGTCGTAGCTGTGGCAGCCCGTGTACAGCCGGGCTGGGTGGCTCCGCTCATCCCGGGCGACCTTGACGGGGGATTTCTGGAGCCGTCGGATAAGGCCCTTCATCAAGCCAAACTGGATGAGTCTCCTGAGGATGAGGAGGGAAGAGACTGGGACCACGATGCTGAGGCCTTAAACACCCCAGCTCCCGCCATTCTCTTCTGTTTCCACCATGCCACACTGCTGCCTCAGTCTCCCCACCTACAGATGCAGGGGTTGGGTACTCCCTCCTCGCTCCCCCATGCTCGCCCCACCATCCCGGTGTCACCGCCGCCCTCGGGGACCGAGCAGGAGGGTGCTGGCTCCAACCTCTCGTCCACCCTCTGGAGCTGCAGGGTGTAGCGGGAGATGAGGTCTCGCACTGTCGTGCCAGGGCTCAGTCCGCAGTACAGCTGGAAGACGTCCCTGAGGCTGGCTCGCTTGTGCCCTGCGAGGACAAGTCACCAGTCAGACACTCTCTCCCTCTGCCTCCACCGGCAGCCCAGCATGGGGTCACCATACCTTGTTTGGTGACGTAGGACAGACACTCTTCCTGGAGACACTTGTCATCCACCAGGTCCTGGACCTTTGGCGTGGTGCAGTAGACATTGGAGTACTGGATGCAAGGAAAAACCAGCTCTGCTCAGCCACAGCTCCGAGACAGACCTGCCCGCTCCAAACTCCACTGTCGCCCCTACACAGCCACCCCAATGGCGCAGCCACTGCCTGAATCCCACTCGCAGCCCCACGTTCCGTGGCCTGACCCACCTGGAGTATGGAAACGAGCGTGACGACCCCGTAGTACCTGCAGACAGACAGGGAAACATGAGAGACCCTCTCTGCCAGCACCCACCAGCACCCCTCCTGTGGGCTGGCCAGGCCCCTTCGATGCACTCACAGCAGGTTTTGCACGGCAATGCGCACCAAGTTCAGCTCCACATCGGCTTCTGCGGAAATCTTCTGGACGTGCCGAAAGCCGTCGATGTAGGGCAGGATCTAGGAGGGGAGGAGGCAAGAGCTAAGAGGGGAGAGAGCAGAGAGGCCCAAGGCATCACCCTAAAGCCCAAGAAACTCCCCTGAATCTGGGAGCACACTGGGATGGGTGAGCTCCATCCCCAGCAGCGTTTTATCCTCATGCTGGGTGAATGTGTGCTTGGGCCTGCAAGCAACCAAGACAAGGGGAGCACCAAGCCATGCTCATTAACGTGGCAATCTCCAGGACAGCCTGACTCCCCTCTCCCCCTGGGCAGGCTGGAAACAAATCCCGTTCAAACCATACTGCCCCAGTCAAGAACACAGACCTGCTGTGTGGTGAGGTCCCACTGGGAGTTGAAGTCGTCCTTGTCTTGGGTAAAGACGGGGACATCATACTCCTGCACAATGGGGGGGTCCGGGCGCTGCTCGATCACCTTCAGGTGGATGGTGTTCGACTCATCTGGCCGGGAAAGGGGGAATGCTCAGGTCCCACAGAAACCTCTGCTGCCTTGGGAGCTCATGACCATCAGCTCCAGGACACTACCACGCCACACAGATGAAGGCACTCGCAGCCCATAACCCCATCCCTCCTGGCCCTTCGAGCCACCCAGGGCAAGGCTGGCTCAGAGCTCCCCAGCTCTAAGTGCAGACAGGCAGGGAGCTGCCAGGAGCAGCGTAGGCAGAACTGACCCGGGCAGAGGATGGCCCAGCTGCCCTGCCCCATTCCTGCCCTCGCTGCCGGGCCGGGGATGGCACAGCTGCCGTACCTATGGGCAGGGTGCACTTTCCTTTGGCATTCAGCTCCTCCAGCAGGATGGTCATGATGGGAACCAGCTTCTGTTTACTCTCCTCGTTGGAGATGAAGCCACTTTCCAGCTAAAGAGAGCAGAAAATTGAGTCAGCTCCTCCACACAGGATACCAGCCATAGGAACTGCATGTCTTGGATCCCATCCTCCCTCAAACTTCAAGTGAAACCAGCACAGTCCTCTCCTTACTGTAAACCTAGCCCCTGCCTGAGCAATGCCCAGCGATCCACAATGTGTGCCAGGACATTGATGACTCTGTGGGGTGGATTGTGAGGCAGCCAGCCTCCCATCACATTGGCTTGGGCCTCACCTCGAGGGTGGTGAGGTAGCCAGCCAGCTTCTTCACTATGGGCTCCAGCGCACAGGCCTTGGCTCTGGCATCACACACAAAGCCCAGGTTGAAGAGCAAAGCGTTTCGGCTGTACTTCTTGTGCTCGATACATACAGGGCAGCCGATCAGCTTCTTCTCCATGGCCGTCCTGCAGGAAGACAAGTATAGCCTGCACCTATGCCCTCAGGGAGGCCTGAGCCCCGCACAAGGCTAGTTCCTGATCAGCTCTGCAGGTGGGAACTTCTCTGCTTTGCAGGAAATATGATGTCTAATCCCCAAATGCTCAGAGTGCAAAACACACAGTCTGAAGAAGCAGGGGGGGAAACAGTCAACCATCAGAGAAGAAAACAGTCTCCTTTCAAAACCAGCACAGCTCTCTTTGGGAACTAGAGACCTTGGTTACTCTGGACTACTGCTTCCCATTCCTCTCCGCCAACCATTTCAGATCACAGCAGCAGAATGGCCACACAGGTATGCTGCTGAGCATCTCCTCAGAGTTGACTCCATCTCATGCAGCACAACCAGTACACAGGTTGACACAGAGCCCACTGCAAGCATCAGTGCAGTCACCTGCATTTTTCCTGTTGGGCTAACCCATGCTGATCAGACCTGCTTTTCCCCATCATCAGTGCCCTACAGCCTTCAAAACACTTCTGCTAGCCTGTAAGTCATTTGACTTTCCTGGATTTGAGGCTGACAGAGAACCACATGCAGCACCAGTCACCTCCGGAATCAGGCACCCAAACCCCTGCACAGGTAGCTGTGGGTATTGCAATGAACCTGCTGACCACTGGGACAGAAATCCCTGTGAGCCCAGAGCTGACAGCTGGCACTGTCACACCACCAAGCTGTTGTCTCCTGCTGGCAGAGACTTGCCCAGTCGTGGTGAGAACAGTGGATCCCCCCACGAGGAAAAGATGGGTGGCTTGCCAACACTCACACGGTGATCAGCTTGTTCTGCAGCTCGGGCTTCGTGATGACATACACCTGGATGGTGTCAAAGAGCTCCCGAGAGATGAAGTCCTCCGGGACCTGCAGCGCCACAGAAAGTCCCG